GTGTCATCACGTTCTATTAGTTCTACAGCTTCAGTTTCGGAACTTTCACGCTTAGTAACATACAGCATACGCTTAGTTCCCTCACCACAGTGTAACAGTGAATAGGGACCTCTTTCAAACAGTGTCGCGTTCCGAACGTTGTTTAAGCGACATACACCGGTATTGCGGTATTTTAAAAATTCATATTATAACAAAAATAAACACCGGTATTCGGTATGAACCGGTATACCGCCCAGCACTACGAAACAGTGACTCTAAAACCGAACCGTGAGTAATTTGAACTGTTACACCACTATAATACAAACACATACATACTCTCTGACCACTCATCACCAATAGAAAAATAAACAGTACACACATTCATATCATTCGTTGTTAATACACACAACTCTCAGACTACTCATCACTATTATCTCTACACACTCTCAGACAGCACATCATTAACACATTGTTAATGACGCTGGTTCACATGCTACTGAACCTTTCTTCTGTCCTGGAACTTCATGTTGAGTTTAAGTAGCTTTTTTTAAATAGCATTTTTATTCATCAAGGATGCATTAAATTGATCAAAAGTGACAGTAAAAACAATTATAATGTTACAAAAGATTTCTTTTTCAAATAAATACTGTTCTTCTGAACCTTCTCTTCATTTAAAAATGTATCACAGTTTCTACAAAAAATATTAATCAGCACAACTGTTTTCAACATTGATAATAATCAAAAATGTTTCTTGAGCAGCAAATCAGCATATTAGAATGATTTCTGAAAGATCACGTAACACTGAAGACTGGAGTAATGATGCTGAAAATTCAGCTTTGCATCACAGAAATAAATTAAATTATAAAATATATTGAAATAGAAGACAGTTACTTTAAACGGTGATAATATTTCACAATATTACTGTATTTTTGATCAAATAAATGCAGCCTTGTTGAGCATAAGAGACTTCTTTCAACTGGCATCTTTCGAACAGTAGTGTCATTAATCAATGTATTAAAGCAAATTAATCATTCATGTCTAAATAATGATCAAAATAGCAGTATATCACTAAAACAAACCATTCTTCTGCTGGGAATTTGTACACAGTTTCTATCAAAATTGAAAATTCTGTAATCTTCATCAAGTTTAGGTCTGTCTAACAGTGCTGTCATCTGAAAACAGAGAGATTATAATCCCAAAGTACAGCAAAGACCCGTTTCAAACACACGTATGCACAAACTCTACACTCCTGATGTAGTCTATGCTCTAAGACCTCCAGATTATCAACAGCTGCAGTGACACGTGACACTGAAGACTGGAGTAATGATGCTGAAAATTCAGCTTTGCATCACAGAAATAAATTAAATTATAAAATATATTGAAATAGAAGACAGTTACTTTAAACGGTGATAATATTTCACAATATTACTGTATTTTTGATCAAATAAATGCAGCCTTGTTGAGCATAAGAGACTTCTTTCAACTGGCATCTTTCGAACAGTAGTGTCATTAATCAATGTATTAAAGCAAATTAATCATTCATGTCTAAATAATGATCAAAATAGCAGTATATCACTAAAACAAACCATTCTTCTGCTGGGAATTTGTACACAGTTTCTATCAAAATTGAAAATTCTGTAATCTTCATCAAGTTTAGGTCTGTCTAACAGTGCTGTCATCTGAAAACAGAGAGATTATAATCCCAAAGTACAGCAAAGACCCGTTTCAAACACACGTATGCACAAACTCTACACTCCTGATGTAGTCTATGCTCTAAGACCTCCAGATTATCAACAGCTGCATCTTTAACCAGACATTTAATCAATCGACTTTTAACCACATAAATCACCACAATTAAATCAACATGTGTTCTAGGTTGCATGTTGCAGTCCACATGAAATTTGCATGCATAAACCATAGACTGTAAAAAAAGATGGACGACGCGTTCCTTGCACTATAGAAAAGTGAAGCCAAAGCATCTCAGTATGGCCTCTGCCATCTTGAGTAAATGACGTCATTTGGAGCCCGAGTCTGCGCAGTAGAGATTCGTTTGGAGCCAGAGTCTGCGTAGTAGTGTCGTGAGGTGGAGCCGCGGTATCAAACTCCAGCAGACCCAATCAACCATGACGACACGCCCCGTTTTTATAGCATCAAATTACTAGCTAAAATCAAACTTATCACAAAAATGAACAATTGAACATATATCAGCGCAATAATAACTACCTTAAATGACCAAAACCATCTTTCGGAAAATTGTTTTGGAAGTGTAATTAATTTTTTTATTTTGACTCGAGTCCTATTCATTTACATGGAGAGGGCGGGGTTTATGACCTGTACTGCAGCCAGCCACCAGGGGGGCGATCAAAGAGCCGGCAGCTTCACTTTTCAGGACGTGTGCCACCTAAACATTGTGAACATCAATTAATTCCTTTATAAATAAAGCAAACATACCATACTGAAATTACACTCCAAAACAAAGATTCTTCAATTGTTCTTTACAGCAGATTAGGTTTAGCAAAGGTTCTTGAATCAATAATAACTGATATACTTGAGCAATTGCTAGGTGGCTTCTGGGTGTTCTGGATGTTTGCTGGGATGTTCTGGGTAAAAGCATCACTTGCAAGCTACAAACATTGTCTTTGGAGCTTAAAAGGTTCTTCCATTTCATCAGACTGTAAAACCCCTTTTGTAACCTTTATATTTAATAGTTTAAAGTGTAAAAGAACCCGTACAGCTGAACTCTCCATCTGCAGTTGGGGGAGATCTAACTGGCTATAATACTAGGCCAGAGTGTGTCAGAGCAGTGGGGTGAAGACTGTCTCTGTGACTGCTATATTCTCTCTCTCTGTAGGGAAGGAAAACCTGCAGCCATCACTCTCTTACTGCACTATGCACCTACCTCCACGAGCAACAAGGCACTCAGAGAGGCCAGAAAGTAGATGGAAGGACAGATTGAATGCTTTTTGTCTTCAGTTTTCAGGGTTCAGGGAAAGATTTCATGCTCAATCTTTTCTATAGTTCAGTTCATCTTGTGGAAACAGAGATGTGGCCCAAATCTTCTCTCATGCATAGCACATATTAGTGTTTGAATAAGAAACCTGGCATTGAATCTGACACTTCCATACTCAGAATTAAATCAGATACGCATCACATTTTTTGACATCACATCTCATGTCAGAATTCATGCATTTACCATGATTTATGGTTTACCCTTGGTCTGAATTATATTTTATATATAGTTATTTATAGTTTATGCAATATTCATAGAGAGGCACAAAAATACACTGATTTAAAATATAAACTGATATACATTAGGTCACAAATGTGACTCTTGCTTTGAACCAGTGTTAATTTAGCTAATTTTTATTTAGTCTTAGTCATAGGCTTTTGACTAAAATGCCATTTAGTTTTAGTCATATTTTAGTCATCTGAATTGTTTTAGTTTTAGTCGACTAAGTGTCATAAGATTTTAGTCGACTAAATCTACAGTAGATTTAGTCGACTAAAATCTAATGGGTTTAGTTAGTGTAATGCATTTATTAAGCATTTCTCTAAAATTTCCAAACTCATTATATAGGTTTGATATTAAGGTTGTATCATGCAATATAGACACAGATTTAACTGTTTTGACACAACATGCCTTTATATTAAAATTAATTAAAAACACTTCTCATAAAGAAACAAGAACATGGTTCTCCTTTCAGTGAAATACCAATGGTTATCATGTTCATTCTTTATAACAAATTACCACATTCTTCATTCTTTCAAGCAGACATATTTATTTATATAAATAAATAAATTTAGATGAATCCTTATTAGGGTTACTAAAGTCATTTTAAAAACTTTCTTTTGTTGCTTGATTAACATTAAAGACACAAATACAACAGCAACTAAATTAGGCTTCTGTCCCATTAAATACCGAATGCACAGGTGTATTATACACTTCCGATATTCTCCCAACTTGAGATGTAACCGAGTGTGTTTATGTGAATACTCGTCAAAACAGACAATTCGACATCATTTTGTGTGTATTTCTCCGTTCATGCGATGCGAAAGAGAACTGAATTCAGTTGTGCGCTGTGTGAGAGGCGCTTTTCTGTGTGCGCGCTTCGGGTGTGTGCACTCAGAAAACTGGATGAATTGAGTTCTCTTTTGCGTCGTCATGCTTTTCAAATGTATCCATATGTCTGCTCTTCTCTTACTTCCAGATATTGAGATTTTTGAACGTTTTATGGGATGTGCAGCAAGTGTATTCTAGCTAATATCCCGCCGGATAGATCAGTAGGCTCACTGCTACAGTTAAAATGTGCGCATCTAACCTCCTAATCACGCATGAGATCTGACTGGATCCTACCCTCCCTCGAAAATGTCAATTGATTTTTGTCATAGTTTTTGTCATTCAAAACAAGTTTTTATTTCGTTATCATCTCGTTTTCGTCGGTGAAAAAATGTCATTGACGAATAATTAACACTGCTTTGAACTGTCAAAAAATAAAATTTTATATTTTTGAAAGTAGATTATGATGTGCATACCAGCCTAGTGTTTTTATGCATGTGGGTCATTTTATGAGCATCTCATATTGGACATATTTGAAAGGTTACAAAAAAGGTCATAATTGGGCACCTTAAGATTGTGAACATATCCTAAAAACATAACTGATCATTTAGAATAATATTAAAGCCTACGCAAAAGATAATAAAACGAGAGTGCCAACAACTCACCAGTATTGAGGTCATCACAGCAGACTTCTATTGAGTCAGAGGAACAGTCACTGAAGTCATCCAGAGATATATCTTCCTGAATCTGCAGTCTTTATAAAACAAAATAAAAAAAAAAAGTTAATTAGACAATTATTGCTCTTTTCAAGAGCCTCATAACCAAAAACCCAATTGGAAACGTGTACCAAACATTCACTGAACGCCAGCCAAGAATTCTTAGTATTTTTCACTAACTGTTAACAATCTAGCAATAACAATCTGAAAATAATTCTAAAATCTATTTTCTATCAGCAGCTTTCTATCACCCTGTAACGCCTGGTTTATATTCAGTTACGCTAACATGGCAGTCACCCTGATGCCAGTGTATATCGTGCCCACCGGGTGTCCACTGCACTGAGTCATTAGAGCAGATAATTCAGAGAGTGTTCGCGCTGGCAGGAGAAGCTTTTTAAGCATCTACTCTGCCCCAGAATTCCCAGCAGGCATACAGAGGGCAGGAGCGACACAGTCTCTGAGTGGGACAGAAACTTAAACCGCATGACTGATTCGGCGCTGGAAAGATTACGAGTGGAAAAGGAGGCTAATCTATCCGTGTAAATGATGGACTGTCATATTTGTCAAAACTGGATGAAATGGGGAGAAAAAGGGTGAGAGAGACCAAAAAAAAAAAAGAGAGATTGAGCTGGGCACAGACATATGTGAGGACAGACAGAGGAAAGACAAATTATAGCAACAGAACTGAATTGCTAGAAAAGTAACAAACCATGTAATACAATAAAAGTACAGCAGTTAAAACATGTTAAGACATTTTGGAACACACTTGAAACGCTGTAAAATATAGCCTAATAAAAGTTTATTAGGCTAGCTTGGTAGAAAGATACAGTGCATTTTCAATTCAGTTTCTGCAAGATTAGAATTTCTACCCTTCATAACAAAAAAAAAATAGTTTACTCAAACTGTTGCTTCAAACACTTGTTATTTTGGACGTTTCACGCTTGGAAGTTGTAACCCAGGATAATTTTTTAAAAACAGATCCCAATGTAATCCTGGGTTATCTTGAGTGAGCTTGATCTATCCTGACTTACTTTTTGTCAATCCTGGTTTAATGCTTTTATTTGCATATTTACATGATTAGCAATATTATATGCATAAATTTAACAAATTTTATATATGTCTTGCCCATGACTCTTGACCATGAATATATATATATATATATATATATATATAATTGCCTTGCTACGTGTACTGCGTTAAGCTAACCAAGACTTGTCATTTTGCACTTACATATTGTTGCTCTTTTGTTAGTTTTGATTGCTTCTATTGTCCTCATTTGTAAGTCGCTTTGGATAAAAGCGTCTGCTAAATGACTAAATGTAAATGTAATGTAAATGAATCTGACTCCAGGTAATGTAAGCAGGATTCTTAACCTGGGTTTAAAAGTGAACTCTCAGAAAAACTGTACTTTTTGAGATACAACAAGCGATTTTGTATCTAATTTACACCTAAAAGTTTTACAATAGTAACTTAAAGGTACATATTACTAATTTAAGGTACTAATATCCATTTTTTAGAGGTAGATAAGGTCCCTTTAAGGTTACTTCCCCGGTTACAACCTGTTGTATCCCTAAAAGTACCATTTCTGAACATGTTTTTTTTCTGACAATGTGGCACTAATTCCCTTTTAAAAATAAGTGTGAAACTTTGTTTAACCCAGGGTTTAAAGCACCGTTAATATGTTAGCCAAATGTTAACCATAGTGTGAAAAGTGTGTGGTACAACTGTATGAAACCTCCTTGCTGAAAAGACCAGCATAGCTAGTCGAGGTGCTGATGTCCCTATTAGACGGCTTAAATAGCAAGCCAAAAATGTCAAAAAGCTTCACCAGAAAAGCCATCATGGAGAGTTAGTTCTATAAGGCTATGCTATGCTGGTGAAAAGCATCAACTATGCTGGTCCACATGAAACTAAATCTGCACTAACCAAAATACACCAACTTGGCATCCATTTCCCAAAGCATTGACCCAACTAACTAATACCCAGCTATGACCACAAGTTCTGTCGTTACTAACAACGATTCAGCATTTCCTGAAACCACTGTTTCACAAACAGGCTCGCAAACTTGTGTGGTTGGAACAGTTCTCAACCTGTGGTTAAAAGGATAGTTTCTTGTTAATTTCTGTATCATACTATGGTAGTTAAGCAGCCAGTTAAATAGTTGTATGGGAAACGCACCCCTGCTCTTTTCTGGTCCTGGTCTAAGCTGATCTCATAATCATAGTAGTGCTACAATCCTTCAGTATATTTTCCATAACTTACCTGTATCTGAAAGGTGCCACAGCAGCCATATTGACCTTCGGTGACTGTTTGGCTTTGAGCCTCTCAACACTAGAGGTTTCCTGTTTCGGGACTGCAGTAGTCTCGGGGGGTGGTTTTTGTGGGACCTCCGGGCTGAGGTCATCTGGGGTGCACATCTCCTCATCTGAAAAACTACTAGAGGCACTGTTCTGCAGGGACACTCTCTCTCGACGGACTCTGAGGAGACCCGTATCTACGTTAGTGGCTGCTGGACCAGGCCTCAAGTTTTTGTTAATAAATCTGAACAAAGGGATTCCCGTCTTGCTGTGACTGCTTCCAGAAGCAGCACACTCCTCATGGTATTTGAGTTCTTCTGAGATCAAACTGTTATCGTTGTCCATTCTTCCCATCTGAGAATGAAAGATTCCACTCTGGAAGTTCTTGTTGCCGTTGGACCGAAGGTCAAGCAAACTCTTGGACCCATCCAGAGCACCCCTCAAAAGTGGGGACTCTTTCCGTCGAACTTGTGGACTGCTGTGGGCTGATCTAGAGTCTTGGGTCTGAGTTTGAGGACGGGTGGAAGAACGTTGACTAGGTGGACTGCCTCTTAGTAGCAGATGCTGGTTTCTGAGGGTGGTGTCCCTCAGCACATCTCTGGAGGAGACAGCTGTAGGGCTGCTGCTACAGGAGGTTTTGTTGCTAACGGGGACGTGTGTGGACGGTCTCGGAAGGCCACTACTGGTGCTCTTGGACTCAGGTTTCGGGGAGGGGTGTCTTGTCCTGTGCAGAGGAATGCTGGAGCCCGGCTGGGCTCGTGGAAGACTCTTCACATTCACTCCCCCACTCATGGTGGCACCAAATCAGATGCTGAAAAAAAAGGGGAACAAACACGATTAGAACCTAAGAACCAGTGCTTGTTGCTGAATTGCATGCACACTCAAAAGAAAAGAAAAATACAATGAAACATTACAAAATTACAGTAACAACTATTTAAGATCTTTCAGTTTGATATTTGATTCAAAAAAAGCCTAGGAACCCCTGGCCAAAGAGTCTCAAAGAAAGAGAAATGAAGTCAGAAAGTTAAGAAGCTCAGAGAGACTACTCTATCTAAACGGTACTCACGAATATATTGTAAATTCCCACCTGTTACATTTAAACACAAATGGCATGGGCCGTTTAACCAAATCTGGGAAAATCTCTTCAAGAGCTTCTCTAAGCAAAATCCTGCCAAGGGGAAGGATTTAGCACGAGTGGTTAAGAGTCTTGTGAAAGAATACAGGAGAAAGGACAGTCGTTATTTGAAATATTTGCTTTAGAATCAAAACGGGTGATTATATCAATCTCATTTTGTTAAGCCAACGAAACTCTTCCCAAATACTGTAAAGCTCCATCTGGTCACCCAAATAAATCTACTAGCAATAGCAATGCAGAGATGTGGTCCAGTCAAAGACCTTTAAACCCCTGCCAGTTATTCTTGCAGCTATATCTGCCATTCAGTGCCCAAATGTCCTAAAGGCTTTCATTCCAGCCCACAGACTGGCCATGATGGCCAAAACCCTCACTGTTTACTAACAGTCCCATGGTAACTATTGACCTTCAAATGTACAGGCAAATCTCAATCCATCAAAATCAGGGCCCTACAAACAACAGGCAGTAATGCTTTCTGGCAAATCCGAATCAGAGCGAGTGTTACGATTCAGAGTCTGTGGGACACCCCACGAGTGGTGGGATGCAAGTCATCTGTGGCCTGAATTCAAGCCACAAACCTCACAACAAATTTCACATTGAAGAGAGGACGTAATACAATAGCCCTGATTTAAAATGTTTACACATTTTCAATTGCTGAACATTACACTTGGGAATGTTCAGTTTTCCCTGAGAGATCTGACTGTGACAGAATTAAACAAGAAAATAACTTCACATACAGGGAGGCAGTAAAGATGTCTTATATTCTTCTCGCTTAATCTACTTTTATACATGTCTATCTTCCTCTATCTTTTTTAATTTAGTTACGCATTATTTAGCCTCAAAATTAACCAATTACATTTGTCTAATCAACAAGCATAAAAAGCATAAAAGTTAGCTTTATTTAATTAGTTAACTGACTTCACAATGCATATCAGTGTCATAAGCAATTAAAATAAAAATTTTAATCAAAACTAAAACTATTAAAAATTGTTTTTGTGAACTGAAATAAAGATGAAATAAAACATAAAAATTAGATGAAAAACTTAAAGCATTTAAATACAAATTAGAAATGTTGCCTTTGAAGCAACTGAAGTAATAAATTTAAACTAAAACTGCAATAAATTGAATTAAAGCTTAAGAGAATAGTAAAAAATAGAACTAATAAAAAGCACATTAAATTACTATAATGTAATTAGTTTAATGAATTAGTATAGTATAATTAGCATAATAAATAGTATAATGAAGTATAGTTTAAAGTATAACAGTATATTATAAATAATTATAAAATATCACAGGTATATAGCTCAACAAAGTTATTTTAAAAGTTGTTTAATTGGGGTTAAAACCCTAGTTCAAACCCCTATTAAAAGGTTTTATTATTATTATTATTATTATTACTGTCCTTCAAATTAAAATGTCTGTCATATTTTTGCTATAGCTGCTGCCTGGTTAACAAACGAACAATAAAACCAAAACTTTAGTCAACTACAGTATATGTTTAATGTACTGTGCTCTCAGAACAAGAGTATTTTTTTTATAAATGTCAGATTAAGTCAAGTTGTCACAATTTTGGCAAGTTGTCACAAAAGGTCTTTTTTTCAGGGCTGTAACAGAGAAAATAAAGATTTTTTTTTTTATAGACAAGACTTCATTGTATCCCTCTCTATGGCATACAGAAATGGAGTTTCATAAAATAAGCATTTAAAATACTCACTGGAAACTGAAAAGTGTGACAACTACCTGCAGCATCCACTATTTCTACAACTAGACTAACAGGAGCACAGAACATCCGATAAAACACAGCAAAATTCCATCACAGCCTTTTCCAAATTCTGCTCTAATGTAGTTAGGGTTGCTTTCACCCACAGTCCTGTCACAGCAGGGTAAGATCCAGCAACATGAAACAGAACAATAGGAAAGATTTCAGAAATACACTGACACATAAGAATAAGGCCATTGTTCAAACACTCTAATCCCATAAATAAATACTGGGATAAGCAGAAAATTAGCTTTCAGTAAATTCAGTAAAAGACAGGGTCTAGTAGTCCATTTCATCATAGTATGCATATTAGACTGTATGAGGTTTCAATTACCATTTGATAAGCAATAGAACTCAAATACATCTGATTTTTTTTATTTTACTTTATGTATTAAAGTGCATAATTTAGTACAACTGTAGATCAATTGCTTAAAATGGCTTTAGGAGACAACATGAACTAAAATCTACCCCAATAAACTTAAGCAGACTGAAACAAATACAAAAAGTTAACATTAAGTCTAACAGGTCAGCATTATGACCAACATTAATTGAGTCTGACAAGACAAGCCAGTCTTATAGACGTGCATATTACAAAAACAAATCATAAGCAAAGTGATTTCTCAAAAATCACCAAAACAACTGAAGAGAGAGCAGATACAATATCACAAAATGTCATTTTTACCTGAGCATCCGCCCTGACCCTGTAGTTTGCCTACAGCAAACTAACCCGATGTTCCTAATGTTTCATGAGCTTGTGCTGGAGTAAAGAGAGGTGAATAGAGAGAAAAGGAGACAGTGCGTCTACCATGTGAGTTCTACAGTCACATGATGCTCAAAACTCAGACTAAGAAGTTTGTTTTTGTCGATTAAAGCATTAACAGATTGGCCTTTGAAAGCAGTTACTGGTTTCAATAGTGTTATATAAGTGAGGTTGAGTGTCCAGAAAACCCTTACAAATGTTTACTATGGTATTCGTAGTTATGGCAAAAATAGTTGCTACAATTATAATGACTTCTGCAAAATCATTATACATTTATGTAGGATGTTACACTCTCAGAATCCTTGTCATTTTGTTAAATATTTTTTTTTATAATAATTATGGTTAATACCAAGTGTTTAAACAATTCTAGCATGTATAATTTCAAGCTATCAAGCAATTAAAATTTAATCTAATAAATTCCATGATGTGCATATTAAATTAAATTAATCACAAATTAATCACTCATCAGTTTGGGCTGAGAAAATGCCCCCCACAATAATTTAAAGTCATCATTGTGTTAAATGAGAAAGGCAGTGAATAGACAATACAAAAGAATGGCATTAATGCATTAAAAAAAAATAAAAAAAAATATACTCTAAATATGAAATTAAAACCAACAGTAGGTGGCGAAAAGTCACTCGGTGTATCTGAAATCATGTACTATCTGAGTAGGAACTACATTTGAATTTGAACTTACTTTGCAACCATTAAAAACTATGTTCTATATAGTATGAATATGGGTAATATAAATTAAATTCGCAGCGAATTCCAAATGGAAAGGGGACACCATTTGTAGGGAGGTTCCAAATGAAAGTGAACAACTGAATCCCTTCACAAAGGGCCCCTCCAGAAGACCGTTAGTGAAGGGAACATGTGATGGTCACTTCAAGGAAGTGATTTCCATTTGTGATCACGTGATCTTGGGTTACGAGTCCTTGAGATGCATTTTGAAGCAAAGTTGGGGTTGGTTTTGACTTCACATACAAATGTAAGTAGAATAATTAAATTTGTCTTTATTTTAATGTAATACAAAATATTTTTTGCCAGCGACAGAAATATGATTTAAGAAGGTTAAGAGGTAGTGTAAGCAAGTTTAGTTTCAAAATGTTTAAAAGTAAATTAGACATAAGATACAACATTTGAATAAAATAATAACAGTAATACATTTATTTGCAACATGGAGTCCTGAATGCTACTGTTACGAATCCTGTCCATGGACTTCCGTCCGATCGCCACCTGAGGTCACTCGTCCATCATATTGACTCTCTCACTACACAGACTGTTACACGTCACCACAGACTACATTTCCCAGCAGCCATTGCACTGATTGCACACAGCTGTAACCAATCACACACACACTATATTACACTCACTCAGATCGTTCTCAAACTTCCGAGTATTGTTTAGCGCATATCACTCTTCTAGCGATAGCTGCATTACGGAGCCATTCCTAGTTCCCTGTCCTAGTTACCAGTTCTAGTTCTAGTCTTAGTCTAGTCACCTCGTGTTGCCTTGTTATATGTTTCCTGACCTTCTGCCTGTGTTTCTTGGATTAACCCTTTGTCTTGCTGTTTCGGACTGTGTTTGCACCTCGCCTGGACTATTGCTCGTGTTATTGGATTACCCCTCTTGTCAAGCCCACTGGATACTGTTTGCCGATCGAAGACCCACGCTAGCCCTAGGAATATTCTTTGTCTTGCCTGTAATATACCCGTGTTATCTGACCCTTGTCTGTTTATTGACCACACCTTTGTAAATAAAGCCTTGCACATGGATCCACACGTCTCACGTTTCGTTCGCCCCGTAACAGCTACATGGACACGCAGCATTGTCAATGTAACATTCGGTCAGTCAGTCTTTTGCCAAAAGAGTTCCAAATGCTTAAGACCAAAGTATACTTAATTTGTGTACATGTACGCTAGTGTATACGTAGAGTTGAACACATAGCAATTCAACGTATACTCCATTTGATAGTGTGTGCGAATGCAGGCGGACGACACATGCGCTCTAGAAAGCTTTATCTTTGTCCAGCATGACCGATAAAAATGTCTTTGTACTCTTTAAACTAAATTTGCATCTCTCTCATAACCCCCCTCACAAGTGCTCGTCAATGTGGGCGTCTGTTGTTGTTGTTCCATCTCTTTAGCTTTGTTTTCTACT